TACTCGGGCTTCCTCCTGCCTTCCAAAAGCATCTTTCTGAGTTTCATGTTAAGGGTAATTGAAAACTCTAAATTGTCCGTCGGTGTGAACGGTTATTTGTATATACATGTCCAGTAATTAGCTAGCAACCAGTCCAGGGTGCAGCCTACCTCTTGCCCTAAGAGATAACCACTTGTCCTCCGTGAGAGTGCAGTGTGCAGTTTGGCAGACAGATTTCTTCAGTCAATGTGTATTTGGTTCAAACTGTTTGACATTCCCAGTTGAACTTTACAATCAAACACAAAACACAAGATAATTATTGAGTGTGGGGGTGCTTGGGAGACTACTGACAATTATCTGTAAAGTTCCAAAGTTGTTTAGAGTAAAAGTGTTCCTTTTAAAATTTAATTTAATCCCACCTGAAAGATGAAGTATAAATTTGACGTTGATGGACAGTAGTAATTCATCCACGCAGGCAGTTCATTTGTTGCATGCGTCAATGATGTGATGCCATCTCTAGTAGAAGTCTCCATTAAATGTTGGAGAAGCATTGTCTCATTTCCCCAAAACATTTCTACCTCCTCCAGCCTTTTTCACTCTGACATGAGCCACTACACACGGGATCATACTTCCGTAAACACTGTGCCATGTGATGTGATTTTTTTGGGCGGGTCACTCAACATCGTGCTTTGTGCACATGCGTGTTCCGTCACATTAGAAGTCACATTTGTTTTTGTAATGTGAACGAGTAAATAAAAAATGGCATTTAACTCATACACTCCCAAAATGGCATTTTTAGACCCTTTTCAAGTACAGTCAATATAAAATGAGGAGCTGGGATTAAATGTGTGGCGTCTGAAAAGACATCTAAATACGTCTTTGGGAGTGAATGAGTTAACAAAGAAAATTCAAACTGGGCATCATGCCCTGCAGAGTGAATAAAGTTTAACCATGTTTGTTTTAAACATTTGATTGTGTGTCTCTGAAATCTTTGTTTTAAACATTTGATTGTGTGTCTCCAAAATATGATATTTGAGTCAAGCATGTTATGCTCAAAAAAAGTGTTTTGACTCGAGCTGCAACTAATGATTATTTTAATGACTGCTTAATCTAGCAATTGTTCTTTCAATTAATCCATGAACTGTATTAAAAACATTTTAATTTAAATACCAACAATTCACATTTACAGTGCAGAAAATTATGATTCAGCTACTGGTTTGGTGCGCAACATGTCAGAAGTTGACAAAAATGTTTGTTTTTCCAAAGTAAAAGCCGATTTTATGTTTTCAAACGTTTCATTTTGACTGAACAGAGATCATTCCACTGCCTTCAAGGAGGACAACAGAAATTTGAGAAAATGTAACGTTTAGCGGCTGAAACTCAAGAGCATTTGAACAATTTTAACATGAACAAGGTCTCTAAACAATTGATTATCAAAATAGTTGCTGATTAATTTGATAATTGATTAGTTCTCAATTAATAGACAGTCACACCCCGAGTGTTGACTAATATTTTATTCCCATAAACATATTTTCATTAAAACTGCATGATATAGTGGCATTATCAAGTATGAGTGAGCAGTACTCACTCGTATTTCATCTGAAAAAAGTGGCATCAGTGACTCCCTACTCAAAGTGGGTGCAATGCTATCGATTATTCAAGTCAACGTAACCACGTCATCTGGACAGAGGGTGGTGGGGTTTACTAAGAATGATGCAAGACAATGCAAATGAGGTACTTTCTTTGAAAATTTCAATGAGCTGATCAATTGTAAAGAATTTAAGAAGTTCGCTTTATCAGAGATTAGTTGAGGTGAGGGGGCTTCGAATGAATTTCTTCCCATTGTGAAGGGTGCACTGCAGATGATGACAGCTTACTGCGCCAAGCATGGCTTGGTTGGAAGCAGGAGGGGAGGAGGTGGGGTGGGATGGGTGGCACAACAGGAGGAAAGGGGTTGGGGGGTGGCATGGAGGCTCATTCAGCAGGATCAGAATGCGGTTCAATGGCATGGCGCAGGACGCACGCCGTCTTTACGTACATCTAAAGCACACATATAAAAACATCACACGCGTGTAACGACTACCTGTGGGCAGTGCTCTTATGTAATGCAAATTGAGGTGACGAATACGCTTTTTTAACGCTTGTTGCGCATGCCAAAGTAGATCCACAACCCCCTGTTGATGCGCACCAGCAAGAGCCGCTGGCCACGGCTGCAGGCGGCTTATTGTGCAAGCATTTACTAAGGCGTTAGCGATCATTTTATGCATCGGCCTCCTCGCGAAAGGTTAGAAGCGACGAGATGAGTTTCAAGATAACACCGGGGCCGGGGTGGGCTATTCTTAGCAGCCCCTTTTTTCACCACCACGCCCACTCTTCTTTGGTCACATTTAGCTATGAGGGGGCTGAAAGAAAAAAAAATCACACATACACACACAAAAAAACGCCTGTGCAGCAAAGGATTAAAATAAACGCCTTTGTAAATCATCGAAATGACATGCGTGCTATTACGCCGCAACGCCATGGATGCTGCGTCCATTTAGTTACACAGCACAACATAGAAGGTGCGCAGTAAAGGATTCTGCAACACAAATAAATTTATTCGAATAAAAGGATTGGGTATATTGGAAAATACAATCCGAAACTGATTACACGCAATCGTAAAGGTCCGTTATGTAGCCTACATCGGAATGGCCCGTTATAGTTTGCTAAGCTCTTTTAAATATTTTTTTATGAAGCCCCAAAACTGGACTAAACCTTAATTCACACGACCAACTTTAATAGCATTTCTTAATATTAAGGGAATTTCATCGAAGCAGCCTGAATAGCATTGACTACAAGACCGACTGCCATGTCCACGTTCATGTCAGAGCTAGCTAACCACGTCGTTGGCCTTGGTACTCACCATTTTGACTTTTCAAGCTCCGCGAAGATGAAGAAGGGAAAAAAACCGTCAAGTTGTCGCTTTGAGACGTAAGATACCTCAATGACGCGCACTCTCCCGGGAGTACTCGAGTCAAATTCAAGCTTTATTCGCCTATACAGCTTTGAATCTGTTGAGACAGTACGTCGTTTGCGGTAGAGTTGCCCGGAAACCTCAACCTAGAGACGCCGGCCTGTCATGCTCTATTCTGTAGAATGTATCCCTCCGCCCGATCATTGTTTGACCTCCACGTAATTTGAAAAAACGTCCCAAAATTCTCCTCATTATTAATGTGAAGAATTTTTAATTTATTAATAATGACTTGCTCTTCAGTGCAGATGAATTTTAGCTCGTATTTATATCACCAACAAAGAGGATCTATGTTGCACTATTAACACCGATATGCGCAACGATACCACCCCAGCACGCCATAAAGACGATGGAGGTGTATGGAGGATTAAAACTGACAATACTATTAACTGGTAAACACAATCAAGCCATAGAGTCCGTTAACATTTCAATGTGTATTTAGATGTTTCACACTATACAATAAGAAGGAAAAATATACATAAGCTGGCAAAAGATCAAAAGAGTTGTACAGTTTGTTCCAGGAACACGTGCAAAGTTGACAATGATTATATGAAGCGATAAAATAATACAGTATTTTTTTTTCAATTAACGTTTACGGGACGAGAGCTATACTCGATATAAAATGCATATACAAAAAATATGTTTACAGTGACAATTTTATCGAAAAAATATGCAATGTTAAGCCATCCATTTTTCGATATCATGCTTGTCTGCCTACGGTCATTCTTTTTTTCACTTGAATTGTGTATGTTATGGTTCAGGGTTTTGAAATGATAACATTTTTACACCACAAAAAATGTGGCTGTAGTTCTTGATGATATTCCATGCTCTGTATATCTGGAGTCCATATATTCTCTTCGATTAAATCTACACATTTTATTTACTTTAAGCTTGAAATAAACAATTGAATTGAATTACCATTCTTGATGACTGGCTGGTGGGGTCCAGTTTGAATTTTTATGGTTCTTACTAAGTGCAGAGGCCTACGCAATCAAAGCAAGCACAGATATTTAAAAATCATATGAAATAAGTGGCATATGAATCCACTTGTGAGCTAGGCAGATGTAAATAATGTAGATTAATTTCAAGATTTCAAATGACTAATGTCGGAAGTGATGTCTTACTATTGTCTGAATCCTCCTTGCGTTCACAATTTTCGTCAGTGTTTTTTGTGGCAAACTGTTTCCACTTTAGCCTCATCACAACAGCGTGCATTACTTGCATGTGGACAGCCTATACAATTAAATGGACAGCTGAGATCCAGAAACCATCTGTAATCCCTGGCCAGTGTCCTCATTATGCAGCTGAGTCCTTGTGTGATTATCATGGAGACGGTGTTAAAGAGGGAGTACGTGCAGCACACCCCGAGAAGCATCATGATGCAGATTGCCACCTGCTATGCTCGGATCTCCTCATGTTGCTTCCTCTGGACACTCACAAAGTCCCCGAAACCCACCATGCTGAAGGCCACGAAGCAGAAGTAGAGAGACTCCAAGTAAGTCCAGCCCTCCATGGCCGAGTAAAGCGCGGCCGCACTGCAAGCGACGACCATGACGGCAATCAAAAGCAACAGGGTTACTTGGTACGTGGGCGACTTCCACTCGTTTCTGTTGCCACCTGGCCGGCTTCGGGACTGGAGTCTGCTGTGTCGGATTCTCTTGGAGTGGCACCAGAATAAGATGAAGCTCAACAGCGTAATGACTCTCTCCAGGAATAGGTTAAAGAAGAGCATGGCTTTTTTTCTGTGTGTCTTTTGGGGATATTTTTTTGTTTAGTTCTTCTTTAGGAGAGGCATCCCGTTTTTTTTTTGTTTGTTTTTTTTTAATGGAAAACGCATACTAGAGGTATATCAGTGTTTTGGGGAGTATTTGGTGGGTATACAATTATTTTTTCTCCACAATTTTCCCAGTGCATTTCAATTTGTGTCAATTATATGCAGATTTTTGCTATTCACGAGTCAGCATATTATTTTGTCCATATTTAAATGTCATTTTTTTTGTCATAGATCTGCTTAGGAAGTATGTGGTCCTATGTTAGCACTGTTGAAAAATTGTGGCCACCGCCATCATTTAAGTTGCCCATCCCTAAGAACCCTATTGACCATCTGTAGAATGGGATGAAATATGCAGTCTGAATATGGCACTCTTAAAACTTAAGACAGCTGGTGCCGTTTATTTGTTTGGGGTAGGGGGCGGGTGGGTAATCAAGGTTCCACTCAAAATGTGTGCAGTGGCCCATCCCTTCCTTTGAGACATGAATGATCTGGCAAAAGACAAATGGGAATCAAATGTAGCCAGAACTCCAGAATTACATCAGCAAGGAAAATTATGACATGGTCCTAGGTTTAGTCACCAGTCACATTTCCTGGGGAGAAAAGCCAATACTTTAACAACTTTTCCCCGTAATCAAGAACACGACGGTACTTCAGGACGTGTCACGGGGCTGTAGTTTTTTTTCCATCCATAGGGGGGCGATGGTTGACTTCCTCCTCAGCCTACCGCAAATTAAGTAGGAGAGAAGAAGACCAAAGAACGTTGGGGTTGTATGTTGTGTTTTGTTAACAGGTTGCAGTAGGTTAGAGTTGGTAAGTACGAAGCTCACCTTTATGAATTCTGTAATACATTAAATGCTAAATTGTTGCTGAGAATAGGAACTGTACTACGGGTATGTCAACACTTGCGTCCAAAACGTGGCTTTTACTTTGAGTCGTCCGACGGCAGCACATGACTCTTATGGACCCTTTACACGCCCTTATTTTGTGTTTACAAATCAAGTCTCAATTTGAAGAATGGCAACCCCGGTGCCCGTGCTTCGTCTGCCGAAAGGTCCCGACCCTCACAGCCGCGGCTTCGACCCTGCATCTCCTCGCTACATCGCTCTGTGCAACACGTCCATCACTTCTTCCTCGTCGTCACACGCAGACCCGGAAGAGCTGAAGCGCGAGCAGCTCGCGCGCTCACAATTGCGAGAGCGCTTCCTCAGGTGTCTGATGGCCACGCGCAACAAGAAGGTGAGCTTACACATGCACGGCGACGTGACCGTGGACGCCACGTTCGGCTGCTGCGACATCGACGTGCTCAACTTGCAGGTGTCCGACCTACACACTCCCATCGGTGTGCAGAAGGAGGCACTCATCAGATGCCAGGACGTCGTGTCGTACACCTTTGAGTTGTGAAGACTCCCCCCCCCCCCACACACACACACATATCAGACGGACTTGTTCACATCAAGATCAACCTCCGTTTTGTGAGAAGTTTAATTTAAGCCTTGTTTGACACTTCAGCAGGCTAAAAGCACAACCTCCTTTCGGACACAAGATGGCGCCCTAGGCTCATGTTTTACCTATAGACGTTAAGTCTAGACAGCAGAAAGCATGTTACTTTTTGTCAGTTGAATTTTTGCATAGAGCTTTTGTATTGTACATGTGCCTAAACAGGATCTACCCAGTGTATATACGTCAGTATTTCACAGCCATTTTTGAGCCAAGGCAAATAAATGAGGATAACTCATGGCACACCGCGAACCAAAAATCCCAGAAAAAGTGCTTACATCGATTATTTATGTACCCTCTAATTGACTTGTTCTGTCGCTGTAAATGGCCAGCAATTGAACACAGATCCTGTACCTTATTTGTGTAAATAAATTTTTGTTTGTTTGTTAAATTTTGTTTTGTTTTATTTACAACCAAAAGCAATAAATTGATCTGGATTGTACTGCCCGGCCAAGAATTTAATTTTAAACTTTCCCCTGAGTGAGATGGCTGTCTTAATTTGTTTTGTGTATCTCTTCAAATGCGAACTTAAAACATTTTGTTCCTACTATATGAATGTGTCAGTCCAATATTTATACCGGTATCTTCTGTTTTAAGGCAATGCTCAGGATTGGCAAGGTTCTTGGCCCTTCACTGGCTCAGAATCTATGGCCCATACTATGCAAAGTGATGAACAACTGTACAATATTTAACAAGATACTGTCATAGATTTTACACATTAAGAATTTAGTGTGTTCATTTGTACAGACTAACCTCCTTTTAAATCGACACCAGGTGACCCTTAAACACAAAGAAAATCATGTTTTCCTGCCATGCAAACAAGTCAAACATTGACCACATGGAACGGCAACACACATCTTTCATATCTTTACGAGCTGCAAGTTTCTTCATTGTTGTGCCAGTCTGATGAGCAGGGGACATCAATACTATTTCATCTCCCTAAAAGGTGTATTTTGCGAATTCCAATAAGTCATTTTATTTGAGTGCCATTAGGCGCCCGTGCTCCGCCTGCATGCGACTTTTTTTTTTTTGACCACTCAATGGAGACAGTCATCAATGAGGGAGTGACTCATCCCCCCTCTTCGCCCTCCCTAATCTGAAATATGACTTAAATGACGTCATCGGCGCTTGTGTGATTCAATCAGGAAGCCCTCAAGGACGAGGAAGGTTAATTTTATTTACGCAGACATACTTGTGTGGGCAGCAGGCTGAGACACTGTCATTTCTCACCTTTGTGATATGAGCGCTCGTCCACCACGTGATGGCTGTCCATTATTTTTGCATACCAAGTAGTGCTCTGCACGAGTGATCACACATGATGACCGCTTGATTTCCTTTTGCGTTGCTTTGCGTGTTCATCTTTTAGATAGATCGGGGGCGTCCAAACTTTGTTCAAAGAACCACTTAGCTGTTCTTAATTTTTATTATTTTTTCAATTATATAAACTATGTAGTTTGTAGTATGTAGTTTCAATATAGGTAGAGAGAGAGAGAGAGATTCTGGGCCCAGCCTTCCTGTGTGGTGTTTGCATGGTTTTTCTGCAGGTACTCTGGTTTCCTTCCACATATCAAAAACATGCACGGTAGGTTAATTGATCACTATAAATTGTCCCAAGGTGTGTTGTGAGTGTGAATGGTTGTTGTCTGTCTCCGCATGCCCTGCGATTGGCTGGCAACGAGTTCGGGTTGTACCCTGCCTACTGCCCAAAGATGGCTGCGATTGGCTCCAGCACTTGTGTGTGTGTGTGTGTGTGTGTGTGTGTGTGTATGTGTGTGTGTGCGCGTGCGTGCGTGCGTGTGTGGATAGGTTTACATGCTTTGTGCCAGTGACGTACAGGAAATGTGTGTGCTGCCCTGAGTGGACCCTCCAGTTAAATGCTGTGAATTAGGTCATGGCGTGCGAATACCAGTCCGATAAAGTTACCATAATCCATTCAGTTGGAGGAAAATTAATAAATCACACAAAGATTGTACTTGGGTTTAATTTCAGAGGTACATTTGACATGCCAATGTGATGATCAATTACAAGAGTGAGCTGAATTATAATGGCAGCTTCTATTTGTAACCGTGCAGGGAGACACTGTCCCAATGTTATCTCCTCACACTTTCCTGCCAGTCCCCACTTTCGGGGGCAAAACATTTCTGCCTCCGCACGTGGATGTGTGTGTTGGCATACAGTTGGTCAGCCGTGATGGTCCAAAGAATCTGACCCGTACACGCAGCCGGTCGACAGGAAGCACATTCCGAACTCTTTCCTGTTTGTGGCCCTCTCTCTCATACTTCATGGCTAATGTCTGATAACTTTTAGAATCACTTCATCATCCTTTGCCCAAACCTGGACTGAAATGACTGGGCTGTGACCTCATGCTTAATTTATTTTTAGTATGTGTCTTTTTAACATTTAGCAGACCACAAGACCACTGTTTATCTGATAGAGCCTACCGAAATGAATCAAACAATATACAGTAGATGGAAAATAAGCTTCTCCACAAACACAGATGCAATAATACTTTGTAGGAAGTATGTTTAGTTCCATTTCCAAAACCCCAATTTGAAAAATCACAAATGTTTCTACACTGCTGAAGGTGAGGCCTAGTTACTATTTGTCGCAAGCTAAGATAACAAGTTAGCTACTACTCTTGGTTTATACAGGCCCATGTTTAACTCTGAATGATTGTAATAGTTAATAGAGAACTAATAAGCTTTACATGAGCAGTGATGCTCCAAAGAAATTGTCATTGTTCCACCCCAATCCTGTCGGTGTGACTGTAAATAGTTGGCTGTCTCTATATGTGCCCTGGGTTCAACAAGTCCATGTTGTAGTCTTCCTTTCACCCTAAATCAGCCTCACGGATGGACGCAGGGGTTTTATTTGATCAGTGTGGTCTTAAAACGTTCCTATATGTCTAAAATGAACAGTATAGTGAGTTCTGAAGTTCGTTGTTTAAAACAGTGACGTGGTTGCCCATTGGATGGTGTTTTCAAGGCAGCCAGCCCGGGGGTCACCACAATAGGAATGGCTGAGTCACTGTTAGTCCTCACACTTGTCTGAGTGGCTATCAGCCGGGAATGTTGGAGGAGCTCCAGTGATTGTGAGGGCCAGGAGCTGTGTGGCAGCCTCACTTCCTGACTCCAGCAAGCCCGGGGAGATAAAGAAGTAGCATGGCCATACTGGAACAGTGGCTTTATGTTTATGCACAACCGCAATTTGTAAGTATGGAACTTTTGTTTCAGGGTAGACTGTTTGCACGATTGTGCCAAAGAATTCAAAGTACAGTGTGTCCTCAGTTTACAACGGCACTAACAGAATGGAACGCAATAAACTACTACTGCACGGCGATATAAGTATGCATGGTCACATGGCAGCCTGTTGATTATTTTAGATTTATGGAGTCTTTGTCACACAAATATTTACTGTTATTATGACATTGCGACTACATGCCGTGCACCGGCTTCTGCCACTGGCCGGTGGTTGTGCTGCAATTCAAAATTTGAATCACCAATCAGCCAATCAAAAAACGTGAGTTCTCGCGCAAAAAATAAGTTTCCCAGCGGGGCAGTGGAGGTGCCAAGCAGTACCAAGGCCGCCTATACAGTATATTTATATCTTTACTTTTCCGACAACTAAACTGTATGTAAAACTTCACATGTACAAGTAAATCATAAAAAGCCTCTGTTGCCAAATGCGCGCCTAGAGTAAAAAAAATGTAGAGCCTAAAACCCCATACAGGCGCGTGGATTTAACAAGGTGGATAGAGCACAACATTCTGCATGAACTCTTGAGAAATAATTACTGGACTACTTAATTTTTGTGTGTGTGGTGCGCAGTGAAGAGGAGTGTCGCATGCGCGTCCGGCTTCATTCTACAGGAAGTCACATAAAGATGAGGGAGGAGAAAGGAAGTGCAAATTAGATGATGATTAAAGTTATCTTAATTTGTCTGTAAGACCCCATCATGGCCCACTCCCTGTCCCAATGGGGTAAACACAGGAAGATGCTGCTAACGAGTGTCTGTGATGCAGTCAAGCTGCTGACGTCCTACCGCCACTTGGGCGATTATGTATGGACCCTGAGAAATATTACTTCCAAGCCGCCGAAGCAGGTTGACTTTGGGTTTGAGTTTGGGATGGAACAGTCATGATCTGAGACAGTTTTATGTAAAGAGTAACATCATTACATAAAGCTACACAATGGAATGAAAGTCAGTACAAGACCTGTATTAAAATTGTGATCCCTACCTCCACAATTATGTATGCCCACTCATTTAACGATTCAGTCGATTCAGAATGGGTCCATGGATACCATTGTGTCGAATATTGTTCTTGTACTTTACATATGAGTAGAACTGTGTTACGCATCCCTACCGAGAGCCATTTGTCATACTTAACTTTCAAACACAATCCGTTCCCGTGACACTGGTTGACTCCAAGTCGTTCTTACAGTGAAACAGAGTTTCCCATTGGATAACATGTCAAATGGATTCAATGGCTAATCTCATCCACAACCATCTTATTTTTGTACTCCCAGAACCATGCGGATTTATGACAAGTCTATCACCTGCTCAATCGAGCCTTATAGTCCAGCAATGGTCGCAGATGGGTGAGTCGAAAGTCCACTGTAAATTGGCAAATTGCAAGATACGATGCCAAAAACACATGAGTAGTTGATTTCCGGCTTTAAACGTGGATGCGGAGTGGTAAAGTCGATTAGTCAACTAAATACTTTCAATCCCTAGTTTAGAATATTTTGACATTCTTACTTGCCATACCTAGCATAAATACTGTATAATTTGACCTCTGTATAATAGAACTAAAATGAAGTTAAACTATTCATAAATTAAAATAGCAATAACAAAAGGAGAAACTGGAAGGTGTTTGAAAAGTGGACCTGCCACTTAGTTGTTATAGTTATTGCTGGAATTCATTTTAGGTGTGCGTGTTGTGTGTCGACATTCAATTTGAGAATGTTTCTTTGTTTTTGCGATTGCATATTAAAAGAAGTGTATGTTCATTTTGGCACCTGTTTGATAAAAATGAATTGCTGTACTGAGCAGCCAAACCCATGATTGTGTCTCAGTTGAGTTCCAGTCCGACTACTTTGGTTATGATCACGTCACAAATTTCTTCAATGTTATTAGTGTTCATGAAACACACAAACAAAAATAAAATTCCATCCATTAAAAAAGTGCTTTTTGTGTGTCCTCATTAGGGCCACGGGTGAGCTGGAGTCTTACCCAGCTGACTTTGGGCAAGAGGAAAGACCCTGGACAGGTTACCAGCCCACCACAAAGCATAAACTGTATCGACAACTGTTCACACTCGTATTCACACGTCAATTGAGTGTCCTCAATGAACCGATATGCAGAACATGCAAACTTCCACAGATTCCGTCCACAGATTCAAACCCTGATCCTCAGAACTGTGAGGCCGAATGGCCTTACCACTACTTCACCGTGCTGCTCCCAAAAACACCCACAGTACTTGTGGAGTTCATCTTTTCGATGCTCAGTTTTCAGCTCAAAGCGTAACCATTTTTGGTCCATTTGACTGCATTTTTAGTTACTTTTAGCACCCAAGATGAGCACAAAAACTAACACTTCACATATGATGTAGTGAAATGTTAACTCCAGGGCAAACTTCTACAAACACAGTTAAATAATTGCCCCTAACAATGATTTGATTGTAACCATTGAAGCAGTTTGCTGCTGTTCAATTAGGGAGAAATAAAAAGAATACCAGTGGTGTTGGACAAGTATTTTCCCAGTGGCAGTGGGATCGTATTCTCATTATCAACAGCAACTTTTAACTGCCACCTACAAGAAGTCTTGAGAGTACTTTTCCATTGTTCCTCCTATTCCATCCTGTGGAGCTCACCTGTTTTCCCCGCTGCTCCGCCCACACGCCCCTCACACATCTTAAATCACTTAATCTGCATCCCTTCGCTCCCCTCCCATCTTCTCATCATCAAAACAGCTACGTCGACTCCGAGTGCCGAGGCTGAATTAATTGCTTCTTATTCCACTTAGACACGCGCTCACGTCCCGAGCCCACGCTTTTTGCTCACCAGACAGCAATCTCTCCATCTTTTATTCTTCTCCCCAAGAGACGTGATTTACTTTTGTCAAGGACAAGGACATCCACCTATTAGGAAGTGCCTCTGACGTAGGCACCCGCGTCCCCTCCTCCTTCTTACCCCCCACCCCCACCCACCCACCCTTTTTCCTATCTGCCTTCTTCTCCCGCTTCTCCTCCTCCTTGCCTTACTCAAATTGGGGTCGCCAACCTTTTATTGTGCAGACTGGTGAATCATCAGTGAGACTTACGCCACACAGCGAAGCTCGGAGGGACGCTCTCCATACCGCCCGCCCACCAACCTACCCGCCCAGGATGCTTCCGTCCTCCTTCCCATATCAGCAGGGTAACCCGACATTGTCTGCTCTCTACTGTCACATCACTCTATCATGCAGAGAGGACAAAGACGTGGACGCAATGATGAGACGTC